GTGTAATCTTTGTGGAGCTGGAACATTGTTCTTATTCTATCAAGGACTTTTGTTTTTTTGGCTAGGGGATAAATTAGTCTGTCCTAATTAAAATTTAGTTTTGGGGAACTGTTTTCTTCCCTCTCCTCCATCCTTTGTCTCTATGGCCATTAAGGAAGAATCAAGAAAGAGGGAAAAGGAGATATTTGACAGAAGAAAGGTAGCAAGAGAAACAGGTGAGGGCAAGAAGAAGATAAATAAAGAAAGGTGAGGAAAATGAAAGGTAAAGAACAGGAGAAAACACAATAAAGAAACAAGAGGCAGGTAAAAGTGAAACCAAAAAGAACTAGGAAAAGGAAAGGGTAGAGAAGAGTATGTGAGATAAGAAAAACTTTCCATTGACCACCTTTCCCTTGCCCCATTCCCCTTCTTGACTTAGATACTGTAACATGATTCACTTCCCTCTTCTCTGTTTCCGGGTTTCCATTTTTACTGACTACTGACTTGAGAACTTTCCTCTGTTTCTTTTTAAAACTGGGACTATACAAGGTAAGAATTTATAAGCAAAAGGCATTGATTATATTGGCATTCACAAAGACAGAGTATTTTGAAATTTAAAGTAAAAATATTTTTTAAACCAAGCTAACTTAAAGGTGTCAAATTTTTGCTTTATAGTTCAATAAAATCTAATATATGAATATAATTTATGGATCACATACTTAAGAAAGTTCATTATATTTGATTCGAGTTTTAGATCAAGAGCCAAATTATAGAATTTTAAGAAAATCTCTTTTTTAAACAGATTATTTGATTAATACCATATTAAATAGTTGATTTTTAAAAGTTTTTATTAGGAGATATTTAATAGGATAAAATCAAATGAAAAATTAACTCTAATAATTTAGCATTTGTGGGGATGGGCAGGAAAAATGTGAAATATCTTCAAACAGAAATCTGAACTATCATAATTTATTGTAGCATTTGTGGGGACGGGGAGAGCATGGATGATATATCATACACACAGTTACTTTAATTTTCTATTTATTAGGTTGTGGGTATTTCGATATAGCTTACCTTAGCAGTGTTTAATTATTACCAATATATGTCTACACTTTTTGATATTGTGAGCTTTTTCTAATTTAATTATAAATACGTATTCATAGTTTGTTATTTATTAGATATAGATGTATTATTAGAAAATAAAATTGCTATATTAGACTATAAATTGCTATATTAGAAAACTCTATCATGTTCGTGCATGGTTGGGTGACATAAGATGAAATTCAGATCATCATGGAAACTCTTACTGAGTTTCATTTTTGTCCTCCCTTTGTGTATAATACAAAAGTCTTATATAGACTTTTTCTGTAACTGTAGTCAATTTCATATCATATTTGATCATATTTTCAAGGATTTAATTTCTGTATTAAATCTGATAAAAGTGAATTCAACATAGGATTCTATATTTTGACCAGGTATCATTTTCTAATATGATGTAGTATTTTATATCTTTCATTTATGTAATTGTCTAAGTATAAAAATACATTTAATCAGAAAAGTTCTTTACCAGCCTCTTTTAATAATAATGAAATAATAAGGTTTTCCTTTATGTCAGAGAAATATACAATGATATAGAGGTGATATATAGACATAATTATTCTAATTTTTCTCTAGCTAGTTAACTCAACAGAGATTAATACCTATGTAATACTTTCTAGCATTTGATGACAGCATGCAATTTAGAGTTCTCATTTTAATTTAGTAGCTCATTATAATTTTGAAAATTATGCTGGGGAATTAAATCATAATTGTTTCTATTTTGAAAGATATGTCATACTTTTAAGGTGCTGGAGTAATTAGTGCAAGTACTTAAGATACTGGTATATGGGGAGTAAAACAAGCATGGACTAGTCATACTAGACTAGTGAAAAACACTGGTCTTTTGTTCTCCATAGGAATATGAAAGCCTAATTTAATTTTGTTTGCTATTTCTATAGGCTTCTTGGGTGATGTGGGGGGATGTTGCCTTCATCTCATCTCCTAAAATGAGAGATAAGCTTTGATTTCTTGCTGAACAGGTGTACAATGTTACTTGGAATTAGAATACTAAAACCAGAGAACACAAGGAAATCTTCCAGTGTCCTCCTATTTTTCCTTAGAGTCCATCAACTGATGAGCAAAAAGTACAAAAAAAACCTAATGCGTTAAGCCTCAGCCTTGCCACTTCTAAGAAAGGCAGCTCAGTAGAAAGACCATGTTTAAGGGTCTGAAGATGACAGGGAGCATCAAGTCATCAATTCTTGGTAATCAGGCTTTTGTTTTAAATTGTTAGGAGAAAAGACTGTTACAGCTCTGGGAATGTAAACTTCACCTTGCAAGACTTTTTGTAAAGATTTAATATTTGTTAATTTACGTGCTTGTGCTCCCTTACTCATTTCTTCATTTCTTGTCTTATTCTTTAGAATATTTGAGGTAGTATTGAGATAGTATTTGAGGTAGCTAATGATAACAAAAGTCAGGAAAGTATAAATATAAAATAAAATTTGAACCAGGAAAATATAGGTTGTAACAGGATATCAAGACTATAGTCATAGTATGTATGTGTAGTTAATACTCTAGAGCTATTATTTTGCCTTTAAGCTTTCCAAAGGCCAAAATGAAAAGAGAGATAAAGTCATATAACACTCTTAAAATAAAGAAAGCATGTCACAGTGTAGGGGAAGCAAAGCTTTTCATTGTATTTAGCTCTAATGGAATTTCTTACTGGAAGCTTTAACACTGATTTTTGTGGTGACAGTGCCCTTGACAGTATCACTAGAGCTAATGCAGGAAGGAGATTCATAAGGCCATCTCTTGCAGAATCTAGAATCCCTCAGTGGAAGTGGAGGCCATGACATCAAAATCAGTTCTGTGTGAGCCTAAGAGTGCAGCTGTCTATAAACTAACTTTATCCAAGAATATAATGACTTACAATAATGGATGGACTGAGTGTGTTTTTAACTGTGTTTTCTTAGTACCACTTTTGCTCTCAGCTGAAGTCTGGATATGCAATGGATAACTGTATTGTGTAGGAAGAGTTCTCAATTGCAGGTTATTCTATACTTGTTTGAGGTTGGATTTGTAAAATTAGAGGGATTTATTAGTCAATTCATTAGATGATTTTAAAAAATTTTGAATATATTTTCTTTGAAAATTATTGGAAATAATTTACATATTGAAATAATTTTTATCTTTGTAAAAACATAACCCCCTCAAAATTATTTACATCCTATCTCTTGTTAGGGTTAAAAATATTACTGATGATTGAAGGGAAATTTTCAGTGTTTAAACTTCAACTTTTGCTTACAATTTTCATGATATATTTTACTTATCATATCTATTTTTACTTGGTTATTCTTAAATTCACTTTGTAGATTTTTTTTTGTTGGCTTTATGTATAACCAACCTTTGTATAGATTTTAAAGACAATGAACTAAAAGAGTGAGCCAAATTTAGCTATTGTATGAAACATGTTCCATTTTGGAGGGATGATTTTTCTAAACAAATTTATGTAGTATATATTAAAATTGAAAAATTTAAGATTTCTCAGCAGATTATTTATTGAGAGACACTTAATTTGAGGCAGTATAAAGCCTCATATCTTAGGTTGTTTTAATATGTTATTAAAGGAAAATTACTAAAAGAAAGGAACTAACTCATAATTAGTATTTACTGTATGCTAGACAGTATGCTAGATATATAACACATCATTTTATTTATTACTGACAATCGTTCAAGGGAGTTATTCCTACCTTTCAGAAAATAACATTGAAACTTGAAGAGATTAAGAAACTTTATCAGAATCAGAGTGGCAGATTTAAACTCAAAATTGGCCAGGAGCTGTGACTCACACCTATAATCCTAGCACTCTGGGAAGCCAAGGTGGGTGATCGCTCAAGTTCAGTTCGAGACCAGCCTGAGCAAGAGCAAGACCCCGTCTCTACTAAAAATAGAAAGAAATTAATTGGCCAACTAAAAATATAGAAAAAATTAGCTGGGCATGATGGTGCATGCCTATAGTCCCAGCTATTAGGGAGGCTGAGACAGGAGGATCACTTGAGCTCAGGAATTTGAGGTTGCTGTGAGTGAGGCTGATGCCATGGCACCCTAGCCCAGGCAACAGAGTGAGACTCTGTGTCAAAGGTAAATAAATAAATAAACTCAAAATTATCTGACACTGAGTTTATCTTTAGTCCAAGCAGTGTTGCATGGATGCTAAACCAGCAGCTGTATAATCAGAAGGACCTTAGTTTCAAATCCTCCATGCTATTAATACATGACCATAGGCAAAATCACATAAGGTCTTTAAGATTCCTTATTAGTGAAAAGTGGCAAGTCATAGATACCTTGCAGAATTGTTTTGAAAGACAAGTGAAATATTGTTTGCAAAAATGTTTAGCACAGTGCCTGGCATATAGCTAAGCTCAATATGTGGTAGCTATAAAGAAAGAAAATGGTACCTTGATGTCTCCTAAATGTGGCTTTTCAGTATTTTATATTGGAGATGACATTCCACTTTAACATACATATTTTAGTGTTTGTTTTTTTTAATAGTGTAACACCTAAAGGTAAGAAATTACCAGCAGGTGGAGCTCAGTGTTTAAGAAAACCCAAATTTCTGAAATTGAGGTATTTTATCACCTTATGTTTTAAAAATAAAATTAAATAAATGCATACCATTTTTAAATTTTAAATATGTAAAGATACATAGTTCTTGAATATGGAGAAATAATATTTTAGTTATTTAAAATTTTTCATTTTATCTGGTGTCATATATAAGGTATGACAGTTTATTTGCATGAATAAGGCATTTTAATATGAACTTAATTTATAAAGATTATTTTAGAGTTTGATCATTTTATTCAATAAGGTAATTGGACTGATAATCTTAAATTCAACTTTTCAAAACTCTTAAATCTGCCACTCCCATAGTCTTTTACTTCTTAAAGTGACTGTGTATCTTTTACTTTAATAAATATTACCTTTAGTCAACCGCTCAAGCTAAAATCTTGGGAATCACCCTGTGTTCACTCTTTTCCTCAAATCTCACATCCCATCGGCAGGTTCTCTTGATATTACCTACAAAATATATCCCAAATCTGACCTCTTGTTAGCATCTCCACAGTCATCTTTGTAAAACCCGCAATAAATTTTGGTTTGAACTGCTCGGCCAGTCTACTTGCTTGCTTCCTTGCCCTTCCTACATTTTATTTCCTATGCAATAGCTAGAGTGATCTCAATGTGTATATGAGATCTTCTATTTCTCCTACTTATGACCTGCCCATAGTATCCCTTTGTATAATAACTGGAATAAAAATTCTAATTCCTTACCATAGCCCAAACTCATGATCTTGTTTTTGCCTACCTCCCCGCTTCATCTCCTAACACTTTCCGTCATCTGTCACACTCGACACACTCAAGCCATTTTGGTCTTATTGCCCTTTGAACACACCAAGTTTTTTCTTATATTTGGACCTTTCTGCTTTATTTCTCTTAAAACTTCTCCTCTAGTTCTTCATATGACCAGCTGCCTTCTTATCGTAATTTCAGCTCAAATGACAGTTCTTTGAGAGATATCTCTGACTACCCTAGCTATAATGGGCCCTGTCTGGCCCTCCGCCCCCCCTGACATGATTATTTATTCTATTGCTCTCTCCCTTTTTTTCTTACATATCACTTCTAGTATGTTTACCATTAATACTACTAGTACTGCTATGACTACTACTGTTTTGTTGGCTAGTGTTTACTATGTGGTAGGTTAGTTCTAAACATTTCCATGCAGTAAGTACTAATATATGTATTTCTGTATGTCTGTGTACCTCATTTGATATGGTATTTGTTTATATATTAATATGTATGTTTTTTATTATCTATTTTCTTCTATAATCTCAGCTTGTTCTTCACACTGTAGCTCCAAGAAAATAGGTACTTTCATTATGTTTACTACTATTTCATCTGCCTTGAACATTGCTTGCCATATAAAGGTGGCTCAGTAAATATTTTTTGTATATTGGACATCTCTAAGAATTCATAATAGCAAACAGTCATCAAATATTTATATGTAAAATAACCTCCTAGGAGAAAGGGAACATTTCACTGGAGGAATCATGCCTGACTAATTATTCTTAGAGTTCCTTTTATATGAAAATAATAGAGTATATTAAATGATATACTGAGGTTTTACAAGGGACTTTGACAATGTTTTTTTACCAAAGGTTACTAAATGTTAAGTCACCACTGGAATGGGAAAATATACTCTTAGCATGGCCCAAAAACAGATTTAAAATCAGAAATCAAAAGGTAGGAATACATGTTAATAGGTATTTATTTGACTGTGGAAGTATAAAGATCAAGTTGCCTCAGCAATTAATCCTCACATCTGTTATGGTTTGAATCATGTCCCCCAAAAAGATATATTCAGGTTGTAATACCTAGTATCTGTGAGTGTTACCTTATTTGGAAATAAGATCTGTAGTTATAATCTGGTTAGTATGACGTCCTTAAGATAAGCTCAAATCCAATATAACTGGTATCCTTCAAAGAAGAGAGACTAAACAAACATATAGGGAATACAGCCATGTGAAGACAGAGGCAGAGATTGGGATTATGCTGTCACAAGCAAAGGAATGCCTGGGGATACCAGAAGCTGTAGGAGGTAAGGAAGGATCCCTCTCTAGGAATTTTGGAGGGTGCATGGCCTTCCTTAACACATAGACTTTAGACATCTGGCCTCCAGAACTGTGGAAAGTAATTTTCTGTTGTTTTAAACCACCAACCTGCGGTACTTTTACAGCAGCCCTGGGGAACTAACACAGCATTTGTTGTGATTATTATCTTTACAAGTGATCTGAAAGAGGGACTGCCTAGTGAGGTAACCAGATGACATGAAATTTTTTAGTTGGGAAGAGCAGAACCACTGGGTACAGATGATGCAAGGAGAAATACCAGTATTAGCTTTTCTCTAGGCTAGACCAAGAAGCAAGGTATCCAGCTTCTATAGATTTTATATTCTTTGATCAAACATTCATTTTGATTTATTTTATTTTCAATATTACTTCTAGATTTAATGTTTTATGATTTTATGAGCCTGGGTGAGTGCCTGCTACTTAGTAAATTCTCAATGCTACTTAGTAAATGCTCAATTATTAATAATATTAAAAATGAATAAAAGAAAATAGGCAATAAGAAATATAGTAAAATATTTTATTTTAATATAAATATAAACTTATTCAGGTATAAAAATCCAAATTATATGTTTAAAATTAGGGAAAAAGTGAGTGCAAGGAAAGAATATTGGTAAAGGGCATTGTTTATTGAATGTGTCACCACTTAAGCAAAAAAACAAAATTAATAAATTGTAAATACATCTTTTGAGACTCTTTTGGCAACAGAATGCTTTTGGTGAGATAGAGCAGGGACCTAGCCAAAGAAGCGTAGTATGCTAGTTAATTATATAGATTCTGGAGCAAAGTTACTTGGATGTGAGCCACATATTGGCTGTGGAACCTTGGGCAATTTAGCAATTTGGTTAACCTTTCTGTGCCTTGATTTTCTCATTTATAATATAAACTAGGTCTTGTAATAGAATCTATTTCATAGGGTTATTGTGGGGAGTTAAATAAGTAATCCACTTAAAATGCTGAGAACAAGGCCCAGATTGTAAGAAACTCTTCAACCCATGTTGTCTCTTCTTGTTTATTAAATGTAAATTTTTACATTTACATTTGGGACTTCTCTTGATAGACATGATATAAAGAAGAATGGTTTTTACCATCAACAAAATAAAAAAGTGGTTACACAAAAAAGAAAAATAGAGGAAATTATACAAAGAGGCAAGACTTAAAATTTTTTTAAGGAGTATATCTAATTATAAAGGTAGCCAAAGGGTTTAAAGAAGGAGATGTTTATGTCAAAATTGTGACCCAGGAAAGTTTTACTGAGTAAGAATTTTGACTCTTTTGCTCTTTTTCTAGTATTCTTATTTGTTTTCATAAAGTTCCTTGAACTTTGGTCCATTTGAAAGAATGTTCTGCACAGAAAATGAATATGATACCTTGTGTCTAGTAGTTTCTTAGTACCTTCATTTTGAAATGAATGAATGAAGGAGGAATTTATATAGCAATTAAGAAGGTATTATAAAACAGATTATCAAAATAGGAGTCTTATTCTCAGATTAAGCATTTATGGGTTTTAAGTATCCCATTGTACTGCCTGCCTAGCTCTGCAACCTCATTGTGTGTTGCTAAGCACAGTACATTCTTGCAGCAAGGAAATTTAAAATTTTTATTTCTATTGAGACTATAGAGATCATTTGCACATGATTTAAATTCTTTTCCTTTGGAACAGAAGAATTATAAAGTATTGGAGAGTTATACCTCAATAAAAAATAAAAATAATGTCAAAAAGTGTTAGATTAAGAAAAGCATTGTTGTACAGCTGTCTGCAGGATACTGTTTCAAGAAGTGTTTGAAAATTTGGTCTATTTCAGAGATCTTGAGATCCAACAACCTAAAATAGGAAGATTTCTACATGAGGTATAGGAAGAAAATAAGTTTGTTTTTTTCTTTAAATCAACTAGAAAAGAGATTTCTTTCTTGGGTAGTGGATCTTCACTTAATGTATGAGGATTTTCTCATTTTTGCTCAAAGCCAAACATTTGTTTGCTGTATCAGTTCCTTTAATTTAGAACTGACTGGTATACTTCCATGCCAATAGGGGGAGACAGTATGAAATAGGAGCCAGATCTGTGCCTCTTTTCTATCTTGCTTTTCCTCAGCCAGGAAGGTTTGTGGACAGATTGACTTCTGGGGGCTTGCTATCACTGGCTCTTAGCAAAGTTTTGAGATGGAGCAGAAAAGGAAATGTTTCTATTGTGATAATCTGCTGGAGCCTGGTATTGGCTCCCAATTCTGTAGAACATGTGCTTTAAGGTTCAGCTCTGAGGCTTCCACATCAGAAGTCCATAGAGATCAGGTAAGGGGGAAGTTCTGTCTCAGGCATGCTTTAGCTAGGACCCAGATATTATCTAAGAGTCCAGCAGATCATCTTTTTCATGCTGCTGCTTCAAATAGGAACAATAATTTTTCTTGACTTCTGAATCTGGTAGTAAACAACTTTTGTTTGAACAATACTGTCAAATGCCGAGCCAAAGCCATTTTAAAAAAAAGAAAGTGGCTTTTTTTCCATCTTTATTTTATTTCATTTGTTTTCTTTATTCACTTCTCAGATATTTTAGAAAAATATGTCCTTTCTAATCTTCCAATATATGGGAAGGTTAAAAAACAATGTAGTTTTGTGAATATTTGAGGAGAAACATGGGGCAGTTTAAAATCTGTGGTGGTATTAAGATTTCTGTTTTCTAACATTTCAGTTTCTATACTGGCTGGTGAAATCAATTTAACATTATTTTTAATTTGTCACCAAAGGAAAATGGACTTCTGATCATAAAATCAGTATTAAACTATATAGTTACATATTAACAGTCATTATCATCAATTATTCAATACCTATGTTCAGTTTAATACTGATTTTATGGTCAATTTTTATGGTTTAATTTAGTAACTTACAATAGATCTATAACTATACATTTAAACTTTTATCATTGTCAGTCTACTCACTAAGATGTTACTACTTTCACTCATATTTATAATCACAGGCATCCGTATTCCGAGTCCTACTTAATAGCTTATGTGATGTTTTCACACCTGAATTGATCATAGAAGGATTTTGTATTCTCATAGTCAAATTTATCCTCATTTTTTAGTAGAGATGCTCTGACTTCTTTGGTTTTTATTCTCTAGTTTTATTTTATGATTATTTCCAGTGAAGCCTTATCACCATGAGATGCATACTGACTCACAAGAGCTAATTTTAGACAGAAGTTGTACCTTTTACCAGGAACTTGGATTCTCTTGGAAATGGGACCAGTCTAGGCCTAGTTTTCTTCTGGTGAGCTGTAGCCCCCCCATGCTGCTCTTGCTGGCCATCTGCTTTCTCCTTCAGGTAGTATGTCATATTGATACTGTATTATAGATGACAGATCCATTTGTTATTGGGCTTTCACTTCCCTTACCTATTCTCATATCACCTGTTCTCATAGGTGAGGGAAGCAAAAATTTTTACTGAAAATTCTGAAATATTATCTGAAATCTTCTGGCGAACAAACTTCCTTTTTGAGAAAAGATTGCTCATTTTCCTGTATCCTATATAACTCAATGTTTAGAAGTGGTTCTTTGTGCTGTCTTTATTATACCTTCACCCTCATGAAAGTCTCTTTTTAAGGCTTAAGGAATTTGGTTTTACTGCATTCTATTCCTCCTTATTGATGAACTATTACAAAATTCTGTTCATGCCTCTTCATTCATTAATGCATGTGTTTTCTAGATCACTGGCTCTCTCTTTTTCTACCCTTAGATAATTTGGGATGACTTTAGCATTCATGTAAAAGACTCATCCAAAACCTTAGTTTCTGCATTTATTGATCTAAAATTAGTATTGACCGAGGGCTGGTAGCTGGTCAGCAAATTAGGTCAAGAGACTTTTCTAATAAAGGGAAAAGAAAGCTGTTAGGCTCTTCTTGTTTCTCTTGAGTAACTGGCACCAGCTCTGGATTGCTTACTTTACAAATTTCTTATTTTGTGAGAAATATAAAACTTTAATTGTATAGGTTAATTGTATGTAGACAAATTTCTGCCACATATAGCTGGAAACAATCTTGATTGAAAGAGTAAGTAAAATTTTGGTGAACATAGAAAATACGACTCAGCATAGTATTTCTAGTTTCATTGTTGCTGTTTGTTTATTTGCACGTTTTAGAAGGTGCTTGCTCCCAAATACAGAAGTTTGTTGTGGCACTAGTTTATGAAGGTAGAATAATTTTAGTGCATCACTTAGACATTATGGTGGATTTCAATATTTAAAAATATGTCTACTACATCTTGTCTTTGTAAATATCTCTATTTTGAAGGCACAGTAGTTTCTCTGCCTCTAACTCCCTAGTTTCTGGTTGAATTCATAGGAAGACTTAATTACCCCTGCTGATGGGCAGCCACGTCACAAAATGTTTTAAAAGTTGTGTACATATTTCAGTGTTTGGTGATTTGATAATAGTATTTATGAAAATAGTTAATGAGTTAATGAGAAATTTATTATAGAACTTAACTCTTTCATAAGAATAAAAACAAATATTGTAAGGAATTGATTTTAAGGGCTATTAGATGTGCTCAGAGAAGACAAGATAATTATATGTATTTCAGATCGTCCTTTATAATTATCTAATTTTAGATTATTGTTTTAGATGCTCAGTTTCTAACAAAAGATTTATTCTAGCTTTGAATGTTATAATTTTTGTTTAGCATCTCCCTTGAAGTATTTGTGTGTGTGTGTGTGTATGTGTATGTATATATATGTATGTGTGTGTGTGTGTATGTAAACTGTTTTTGTTCTTAATAGGGTGAGAGAGAGTAAGAAGCAGTAGAAAGTGTGGTCAAAGTTGTAAAATAAACTGAAATGATAGATGATAGTTGAATATCTTAGGCGCTATATCTAATCTTTTAGTCAAATCATCACTGGGGTCTTTAGTTTACTTATTATTATGTTTTTCTATGTTAAATCCATAGCAAAATATTTTGTATTAACTTTATTCTGATTAATACATATATCTGTAGACATATGAGAAAATTGCACAATGATGAAAATCCACCCCAATGTATAGACTTTAGTGGCCCTGAGGGAGCTGGGGAAAGAGAAAGGCATGAAATGGTTTTTAGCCTCTTTACTCAATTATAGCAGGTTAACTGTTTCTATATTCCTAATTTTATAAAGGTATATATCCTGTAGTAATTAGTAAAAACAAACTGTTTTGTTTTGTTTGTGGTAGCAAGAGAGCATTGGCTGTCTTAAGGCTTCTCTTTGCCCCCAAAATTTTTTAATTAAAGAAATACACAGAAATAGATTGGTTTGTTCCAGAATGGTATTGCTAATCCACTTTAAGTGATAACAGAACTAAGTATAAATATTGTATCAGATGAAGCTACATCTTGCAAGTCAATTCCTGTCAGCTCCAGATGTTGCCAGCTGGAATCTAGAGATATTATTTACTAGAATTCCAGAAATTATTCTTTGTATGTTTTATTTATTACATTATTCACCTATAGTATGATTGGCTTTTCCTTTTTATTTAACAAAAATAAGGTACATAAACATCATAAGGAATTCGGCTTATAAAAAAGGTGATTTTTTTCTTTTCTTTTTTTAACTAAAGGCGAAGTCACCAAAAGTGGCTGGCCATCAAGAAATGAAGACTCTCAGCCAGGCAAGATGGCTCATGCCTGTAATCCTAGCACTCTGGGAGGCCGAGGCAGGTGGATTGCTCGAGGTCAGGAGTTCGAAACCAGCCTGAGCAAGATCAAGACTCCGTCTCTACTATAAATAGAAAGAAATTAATTGGCCAACTAATATATATAGAAAAATTAGCCAGGCGTGGTGGTGCATGCCTGCAGCCTCCCCACTACTTGGGAGGCTGAGGCAGAAGGATTGCTTGAGCCCAGGAGTTTGAGGTTGCTGTGAGCTAGGCTGACGCCACGGCACTCACTCTAGCCTGGGCAACAAAGCAAGACTCTATCTCAAAAAAAAAGACTCTCATAACTTATTAATGATGGACCTTCTATGAATGAGAGGAATAGTAATAGAATAAAAGGGCTTGTTGATTAAGAAATTCCTCCAGGAATGTGATCTCATCTCAAAGTTAAAAATACTTTAAAATATTGGGGAAAAAAGATACAAAATACTGATAGAAGTAATTACAAAGTAGAGTCTTACAGCCTTGACTCATCAAAAGAAGGTCAACTGATAATATGGTCATTTTGAACTGTTCAGGAAGACAGAAATATATCATTTGTTTTATGAAGATAATCTCTAAAGATATAGCTAAGTGAGGCATTTCATTAGTGTCATTTATTTCCAAGGTAAGTTATTATTTTAAAAATTCTGAATTTCTACTTAGGTTTTAAGATATCTATTATAATAATCAGCTTTTTTTTTTTTTTTTTTTTTTTTTTTTTTTTTTTTTTTGAGACAGAGTCTCATTCTGTGTCCCCAGCTAGAGTGCAGAGTAGCATCATCTTAGCTCACTGCAACCTCAAACTCCTGGGCTCAAGTAGAGGTGCTCACCACCAGGCCTGGCTAATTTTTTCTGTTTTTAGTAGAGATGGAGTCTCTCTCTTGCTCAGGCTGCTCTCAATCTCCTGACCTCAAGTAGTCCTCCTGCCTTGGCCTCCTGGCTTGTTGTCCTTATAGGTGTGAGCCACCACACCGGGTGTAATAATAAGCAATTTCATTTTTTGTATCTTTATCTCCTCAAGAGAATTTATGGATAATTGTTTTGAATCTGAGTATAAGTCTTAAGCAGTGAAACTGATTTTTTAAAATTCTAGATATTAACCTTTTTATTTTATAAATAATCTTGTAACTGTCCTATTTGTGTAGCAAAGAAAATAAATGATTGGTTTAAACTACATTATAGGCTTGATTGTAAGAGTTAGTATTCTGAGTAAGAATTGTTATTATTGTCCTTGAAAAGTTATTTAACCACCCCTAAGCTTTGGCTTTCTAATCTATAAAATCAGGATAAAGACAGGACCTAGTATGTAGTTTTGTAAATGATTAAAATGTACAGAACAATGTGTGTACAGGGTAATGATGCTTGGCACATACTTAGTGCTCAATAAATGTTAACACCTTTCACTGTTAGAGCTATTTTCTAAGCAGGTCGATATTCTTTTTTCAACAGAGACTTCATGTGGTATATTATGGCTATTATTTTTGATATAGCCCTTGACACTTTAGCAATAGTGATATTACTCTGCGTTGTTTCATATATTTGATGATACAGTTAAAAAATCATTTGTTGTCTGTATTAGTCCATTTTGTGTTGCTGTAAAGAAAACACCTGAGACAGGTACTTTATAAAGAAA